GGAGTAGGTAAGCAAGTATGTAAAAAAGCTTTCTTAAGTTTATATGGTGTTGGCGAAAAGCATATCAGAAGATTAAGCCACCTACTAGTGACTGGATCCACTCAAAGAGATATTAAAGGTAAATCTGTTAAATCTAGGCATAATTTAATACCAGTACCATTGTGCTTTCAAATACGCATTCATTGAGCACGTACAATCGTTTGATGTAAAGGAAGTCCATTATTATTGTTTGGGATAGTATGTATCTCATGTATTATGTTTTAAATACGGAGAATTTGGCTTTCTCTAGTATTTTGTGTCACAAATATAGAAACAAGTGTACAGTTTCGTATTACCGTGATAATTAACTTAAATTATCGCAATTTAAAATCGTCCGACAATAGGACGGACGATTTATCCCTTTTCATCTCTTTTGAGGTTGCAACCGTAAAATCAAATTTATTTATTTATTCAGATACCTAGGAAGTGGCTGTTCATTTATGGAACTGCCTTATTATTTTTGACGTGGACATACAACAATTACAAAATTGTGCTGCGATATGCAATAATTTAGCAAAATGCTTAGCGTTGTCTACTAATGAAGAAGAATGGACAGAATTACCATCAGGATTTGAAATATACTCCAACTTTTCTTAAACAAAAATTACTTTTCTCTTGTGATGCTGGCTATATATGATGCAAATTACAATTTTATTAATGTCGATATCGGTGCATACGGGAAAAGCCGCGACTCATCCGTATTCAAGGACACTTCATTTGTAACGATATATTTTGCTTACCTTAGGGTAAGAACATGGGGTAGAAGAATGGGGACAGAAACTACTGGGGGTAGAGATAGGACAAACCAAATAATCGATACTGGTGCGTACGGCACTCAGGGGTTTATTGGAGAGCTGGGTGGATAAGTTGAATCAAATGGGTCGGATTAGGGTAACTACAAAAAAAAAACAAAAGGATACTTACATAAATCTCCTGGATCAAAACGAAAAAATTTGGCAGACAAGAATTACCTCTAGCAATTTTCTTATTTGGACGCCGCTTCGTGAAAGAAAAATTCTTCTTTCCTAAAATCAAGAATACATACAAGGGTTAGGAGACTTTTCTAAATTAAAAAAAAATGGATCAGAGAAATAAATCAAACGTTTATTTTTGTCTCAAACAAACATTTATCAAAAATGCAGATTGCACAAAAACATACTATATGTTATTACACATATAACGTAACATAATACAAAATTAACAGAAACTTACGTGTTTATTTGTTTACAAAGGAGAATGCTACAAAAATTTTCGAAATGGTTCCTAGATTATTTGTTCATATGGCCAAAATAGATTATTAAACTTAAGGATATCCTTGTAAATGAAAATATCGTAAAATTTAACCTTTTCTATGAAACATGTTTTCTACATAATAATGAAATGAAAATTTTTTTACAACAGCAGATTAGAGCCAAAATGTCATATGTCAACACAATATTTTAAGACAGAATAAATTATGACATTTTTTAGCCACGCTTCTAACATAATATTAAACTTTAATTATTACAAATTCTTCAATTTTTAATGAAAGCAATTTTTAAAAAAGAACGTCTATTTTACTTGGAAAAATTAGTATATTGAATATTACCTTAGTTTCACTTAGTTAAGTCAAATAACAAAGAAACTTGCTACATATCTGGGGAAGCTACCTGGACAAATTCTCAAACAGGAACAAAGGAAACAATTTCTATAATCAGGAACGACGATCTAAGACGTAAATCAGGTTTGGTGGAGGAGCAAGCAGACGACAAACAAAGCTGGTGGGGACACCCTATATGTTGCTTTCAAAATTTCATCAGTTTCCGGTATCTTCACAAATCTTAAGGTCGTTACTCTGTTCTCAAATGCCATTTGCAAAGAGTAAATTCAACCTTTCACCGGTTTTGAATTTAAGACATTCCACAAAAAATCGGCTGTGGATTCAAAATCGCCAATCGTCTTTCTAGTTTGAATGGCCCTGCTTCACTCCTTTTTTGTTAAATTTTACAAATTCAACGCCAATCCAATTCCTCTCACGTCTTGAAATTTAAACAAACAATATCTCTCGACACTCGTGCGTCCTTACGAACTGAAACAAACATCCTTTTTTCAACCGGAATATGGGGGGACTCGAATGTAAACAAATCGTTTTCAACGACAAAAACATCTATATTTTGCCTATTTCGTCAAACAACCTTAAAATATTTACTTTAAAATCGGTGAAAATAACACGTATTTTATTGATTATTTTAACGTCCTAGTTTTTAACTTTGAGTGCGTACAACGAGAAAAACAACTCAGGGGCATACTACAAAATTTAAAACAAAATTATATTATTATATAGATATTAAATATTAACAAATATAAAACGCTTCACATTTTATAATGAACTCATAAATCAATCGTCATCAAAAATCCCTAAATATAATAAATTATCGAAAAATAACCCATAAGTATTTCCATATGTGTTTGTAGGTGATGAGGTATTTGGACTACATACACGTATAATGTGACCATATAGAGGAAATAATCTTAATCACACTAAAAAAATATTTAATTCTAGGCTATCGAGAGATCGACGTTATTAGAATGTACCTGGTATTTTGAATATAGAATAGGTAGAATATAGGTAGAATGGTATTTTATCCAATAAGTGGAGGATATTTCGTAGGTCATTGAATGCGCACTTAGATCTTACAAAAAGCCTGTTAAGACTTGTTTGTTGCATAACTTTGTACGTTGGTATTCCAGATGGATATTTATATGATGACACCCTAGAAATGACAGGCTTCGAAGATGGCATGGAAGTAAACAAGAATTAAAATCGGGGAAGACGAACAGCACAATAAATATAAACTAAAAAGATGAATTTTCAAATTATTTTGTGACCAAAAATGTACTTTCTTGGCAGAATAAAAGTATTCATTATTGTATATAAATAAATTAATTACCTGTTTATCTAATAAAATATAATGAAAAGTTACCCAACTCTTTCTTTTCTCCAGAAGCCATTTCTTCTCTATCAAATAGATAAGTTACTGCCTTCCATCATTTCTTTTTGAGATATCGGCTAGAGTAATCATTTGATGAAATATCCCAAAGTGAAGACCTGCACTAAATTTCTATGATAAATGTCTCAGTATCAAAACTCATAATATTACGATAAAAACACATTTTTGCAAGTAATAACGTTGTTTCACTAGACCTGGTTGCCATTAACTGGTGTGCCAATGAGTGATGCGTTGTATATTAATTGTGAATAAATATTACATTACTGGTGGCGCAACGAGAGCGGTGGAGCCATGGACGTATAAATGTGGAGCGAACGCTACGCGGTTGGTGACGCCACCAAACTGGTGGAGGAACCAAATCGACACCAAGTGAGATATGGTTTTAATTATTACGTGTTTTCTGAGTGGTATCGCCACTGATTGAGCTACCGTGATGTCCAAGTGGGACATAGCACTTTTAGTTCCGGTACAATTATTTAAATGATTAAGTTGCTAATAACAAATTATATCTGACGGGTTTTTAGACTGGTACCCTCAAAAAATCGAAATTATGAACGAAAAAACATAAAAACCTACAGTTTTTACAAAGTTTTAATGTTTAATAGTTATAATTTTTTTATTAATAAAGATAAAGTAAGTTTGCAATATTTTTTTAAAGCAGAAACAATTACCTTTAAAATGAGTGGATTTTAAAAGATATTCACACGCAAAAAAGCTAAGTTATACTTGGAAAACCCCCATCAAATGCCTATTTTACAATTTTTTTTTTTCACGAAATTTGTTATAACTCCGGTTCTAACAATCTAGTCAAAGTTTACCAAAAGGCATTTTGTTTCTTTTTTCAATAGGAACAATTTTCATTTGGTAATATCTCTAATTGTTTACGGCAGCGTTTCCCAAATAGTGCGTCGCGACCCAGTACCGGGCCACGAAAGCAAAATGCCGGGTCGCCTCGCCATTTCTCATCTCGCTTTTTCAGGTCGCTCTCTGACTGACGCCACTGCTTTTATTTTAACCTCTAACTATCTTCTCCTTCACTACGTGTTTGGGAAAGAAAAATCCTAAGGAAGATCTTTGGTCCTGTGCTGGATGAAGCATCAGGACAATATAGGATAAGAACTAACAAAGATCTTGAGGAAGATTACCCAGACGCCAACATCATAAAAGAAATAAAGTCCAAAAGACTCCAATGGGCTGGACACCTCAGAAGACATTCTGGCGAACTAACAGTAAGACTGGTGTGGGAGGAAGTCCCAACTGGAAGGAGACCACGCGGACGCTCTCGTCTCCAGTGGCGAGATAATATAGCAGGAGACCTAAGCACTAAGGACGTGGAGAATTGGTTGGAGGTTGCTCAAGACAGAAAACAGTGGAAGCATGTTTTCGAGTCGGCTAAAACCCACGAAGGGTTGTAACGCCACGGAGTAATAGTAGTAGTAGGGTTTTCAACACTGGTTTTCCTCAAAATAAATATAGGAACCGTTTTGAGGTCGAACTGGACCTAAGAATTATATTAACATATTTTCCTCCAAACGTAAAGTTTTTAGTTAATCAGAAACAACTGCATACTTCAAATTAATAAAGTATTTGATTTTTGTTTAATTAAATTTTTGTTTAAGCTAATGACTCTTTATTAAAATTTATAAAACCATAACAAATATTTAAATAGGTTTTCTTGTACACACACACCAGGGTATGCAAAAAAAAATACTGGGTCGCAAAGTATAAGCAGAAAAATTACAGGGCCAGGGAAAAATAATTTTGGAAAACGATGGTTTACGGTATACAATCATTTAAGCAATTAAAATGTTAATAACAAATTATGTAACGGGTTTTCAGCCTAATACTCTGGAAAAATCGAATCTATAGATAGAAAACATAAAAAAATCAAGGTACCAAGGGGACATAAGAGTGCATACTCAACGCCCGATGATTAGACTATTAGTAATTTAGGTGGTTTTTATTTTACAGCTGATGGTATTCCACGATGTCACAGAAGTCAACCAGATTATATCACATGCGTACAAAAATCAATGGAAATCGGCATGCGAGTTTTAGCTTCAGGTATGTTCAAATCTAATTTAAATTAATCAGAAAAGATACTCAACTTTTATTATTACAAAAATTAAAATTAATTGAATCAATAAACAGTAAATTAAGTAGAATTTACGATAGACCAATCTTGTTTTCTCTGTCCCCTGGCTTCGTATACTTTTTTGCTAGTATTTTACCATTCATTCTGTGTATATGACCAGGTCATTTTAGTTGTCTCTCGTAATTACTTTTATTGTTTTCACTTTCAAGTTTGCTATTACCTTCGTGTTTCGTATACCTAATACATTTTTTCGAATTTTCCTTGATAGTTGAGCTAATTTTACGATGATCTTGTTCAGCGGAATATTTATATCAAAAATGTATTTTGGGAATGTGGAGCCCGCTATGCAAGGAAAAGTGATAAAGTACGGGAAAAATTCATATAAACCGCTATTTTGTACCTAAGGTTAAAACTTATCTTTCTTTGAAGATCTAAGACTAAGGCAGATCATCTTTCTTTGAAGTTGGCATTACTATTTATTTGCTTTTGTCGTTTATTTATATGTAAATTTATGATATTCCATGGTGTTCATTTTCATGTTTATTTCTCTTAGTTCGTTTATGTATATATTAATGAATTGTAACTGTTAACTTTCGCGTCTTTCTATGAAACATCAGTGGTGCGTGGGGAGATTTTTGTATCACTTTTTCATTGACCAGATTTTAAAAGCGTATACTGGCAAGTAGAAGTACATCCTGATGATTGAGACAAAACAGGTTTTTCAACCGACAGAAATCTCTACAATTTTCAGGTTCTGCCAGTTGGTCTTTGTAATGCTCCAGCTACATTTAAACGTATAATGGAGAAAGTTTTCAGAGGTCTTATCTGGAAAGCATATGTGGTATATCTTGATGATGTCCAAAATCTTTAATAAATATCTGAAAAACTTAAGGAGTTATTTGACAGATTGAAAAATGTCAATTTAAAGATAAATTATAAAAAAATTTCACTGTTTCGCAGAGAGGCGTACTATTTAGGAAATATTGAAATATTCAGCAGAAAACTAAAAAACTGGAACTAAAACTGATCCAGAGAAGATTTCAGTTAGTAAAGATTGGCCTAAACCAAAAAATAAAAAAAAATTAGAAGTTTCCTTGAAATCTGTTCATATTACTGAAAGCTTGGAAAATTAAAGAATTTGGCCGCATTGCCCTTTATCGTAATAGTCACGATTTGGAAAACTGATGTGGATCTTGAAAAGCACTAAAATAAAACAATATTTGAAAACCAGAATTTACGATCAGTGTATCCTCCTTATACTCACTCACTATGTATGTGAACCATACATAGACATTCACCAGGTCTAATATGAATAAAATAGTAAAAGCACAAAGAGCGATGAAAAGATCAATGCTCGGGATGAGACTTATAAACAAAAGAACAAACAAATGGATTAGAAGCAAAACCAAAGTAAAAGACGCAGGAGAACATGCTGCCAAATTAAAATCGAGCTTCGCAAAATGCATTGCCTCATTAAAGGATAAAAGATGAAACCACAAAATACAACAATAAAGACCATGGTTAGAAAAGAGAAGAAGAAGAACGCCCCAAATGAGCTAGATTGATGACGTTAAGAAGATCGGAGGACACAACTGGAAGCAAGTGGCACAAAATAAAAAACACTGCATTGATTTGGGTGTAGCCTATGTCCAATGTTGGTTTACTTAAGGGTGAAGAAGAAGAAGAAGCCCTTTATTGACTAACCGAAAACCATATTGGATTTGACTGGACACCGGATTGTCAAAATGCATTCGTAAATTTATAAAAACGATTTACAACAGCACCTATCTTAGCCTATCCACGAAAAGATAGAAAATTTCTGTTGGATTGTGATGTATCTCAGCATGGTATTGGCGCCGTATTATCACAAGAACAGAAAGTCGAAGAAAAAGTTATTGCACATTTCAGTAAAATAATGGCAAAAGCTAAAAAGAATTATTTAGTTACCAGCAAAGAGCTCCTAACTATTATAAATGTACTAGAACATGTTCAATTTTGGCAATTGGCATTAGACGGCAATGCCACTACTGTAAAAAAACCTAAAGATAACAAGAGCATAACCGAAAAAGTAAGTTTCCAGGTAACCACAGTTATACAGGAAGATGATAAAGATTAGACATCTTTGGAAAACCGTAGAAAGACTCAAAATCAAAATAATGACATGAGTCATCCGAGCATGGCTTAAAAATGGAGTAAGATCTAATGCAGTCTTTTTAAAAAACAGTTTGTAGTCCACACTGGAAAATACTGTTCAGAGTTTAAGAAATATGTTATGGATCAATTGTCGACGATATCTAAAACATTGGTGTAACAAATTTGATTTATGTAACGGTAGAAAAGGTGCTAGAACAAGAATTTGTGGTAAAATAGCACAATATTTTTCCGTAGAGAACCTTTAAAGACATACAGACTTACAGTGGATATTCTCGGTCCACTTCCAATTTCAGAGAGAGGAAACAAGTACTTATTGGTCGCAATGGATTATTTTTTAAAATGTCCTGAAATTGCACCCCTCTCTATTGAACAAGCTACTACAGTAACAGAAGCATTCATAACACTCGTCATATCATAACATATAGTTGCTTTTGAGTTTCAAGGTAGTGCATATCGATGGATTACCTCCATATGATAGAACTATTTCATCCTGTTGGTTTAAATTGGTCCCTGGTAGACCAATATTCGAGGCTAATAACTATATAGGAGGCGTTACCAAAGTTCAATCAGATTTATCCCTCATATAAAGAAGTCTCTTGGTAAGAAAGAAGAAGTATTAAGTTCTAGAATAATCAAGATGCCAACCTAAAAATGTTGCAATGTCTATTGAAGTCCGAAATGTCTGAAAATATATATAAATAGATGTTGTGGACAATTTGAAATGGTAGTGTTTTGAAGTTTATACTTGTCATTGAATATATAACATATACATACATAAATATGTAATTAATTAAAATACCAATACATAATACATTATTAGATGTTTCTTTTTCGTGAACTATTAAATAAATATGATGCGTAAATCTAACAAAATATTGTTATATTTTAGGAAACAAAGACCTAGGATTGCTACCCATTGAACCGTTATTTGTTAAAGACATGGAAATTTCGTCACAAGGAAGTTCTGTAACTCTTGATCAGAAATACCATAATGTAAAAGTTCATGGAATGACATTCAGCGATATTACTGCTGTAAAGTAAGTTAATTCACCACCTTATAGTCACATTACAACCATGTCACAGTTCTGACAAAAGTCATAAATCACACTTCTTCATTATCATTAGGGGAAGCCGGGGGAATACCGCGCACGAGGGAATATTGCGCCTAAGTATCTTGGCAACACACCGTAAGTATTGCAACATTCAACACAGTACGCCGTCTGGTATTTGCTATTCTTTGTTTCAAGTTAAGAAAATAACATTACGCTTATGGAGATCAGTGTTGCCAAAACTCTCACTCTCTTTTGCACGGATGTCCAAGATATTCCCTTTGCTTAATTTTTGAATTTTCATTTTCAATTAACACTTAACTGTAAAGTCAGAATAACTACTAAATAAAAGCCTTATTATCATTATGTAGTCAGAGAACGACATAAAATAGCTGACATACGCACATCGTATTATTTTAAGTTGCAATTAGTAATTAGATATACGCATTCCAAGCGGTCAATATTTTCTACTGATTTCTATGATTCATGGCATATCGTATTCTCACCGAAAAACAAATAAACTGTTGTTACTATAATTAAAATAAGATAAAATAAAATTATCTTTTGTAAATACTATTTATCTAATTAAAATCATTTTCCCTACTTTTCATCTCTTGTTTCGAATGGGCACTTTTGGTCAATTACGTTAAAAAACATTAATTTAATTCATGTTTGTGGAAACAAAAATACAAATTATACAACCCTAAATTGTGCTTGTGTGTGTCGTGGCAACGCCGCGTTGCTATCGTCCATAAGAAATACATGGCCCTATCTCCGCAATGTTATTTTCTAAACGTGGAACGTAGTATAGGCGATCACATGTTTCTAATACGACTGCATTCGTAGTATTGATTTAGACAAGTCACAGATTGTTTTTCAAGACTTTGATGTAATTTTCGACTCATCTTTAACAAGCGGTAAGTGCTTTTGTTATTAATTTTCTTTAAAACTATTCAGTGATTATTTTGCCTTATATGTATAGATAATTTCACGTACAAGAATAATGCATTTTATTTAGTCATTAACGAACAGTGATAAGTTAAGGTAGGTTACTCACTTAAGGGGAATACCGCGCAAATGTGTCGGGGAAATTTTGTACGAGAAGTAGGTCGATCATTTAATATTCCAGAATCCACTCTACGTGACATACTAAAGTCCAATAGCCATAAAAAAATAAAACTTGGCAGGACACCAATTTTTAATGATGAACAGTAATCCACCATAGGCAACCATGTTAAAAAGTTGGTGAATATGTTTTTGGAGGCACACTATCAGAACTAACTAATTACTCTTTAATGACCATCCTTAAATCAAAAATACTCTCAAGATAAAAAAAATAAGAGTAGGTATACAAGACAATAATTCGACCCACAATAACGTATGGAAGCGAGACATGGACGCTGAACCAGCGGGAAACGACAAAATTAATGGTTCTTGAAAGAAAGATACTGCGGACTATCTATGGGCCTTTTAGAGAAGAAACAACAGGAGAGTGGAGAAGAAGACACAATAATGAAATCCAATCAATATATGGAGATGAAAACAGTCCATTACATTAAAACAAACCGAATGAGATGGGCGCGCTACGTCCTCAGGTCAAATAACGAAAGACTTCTGAACACCACATTCTGGGAAAGGCCCGATGGCAGAAGGTCAGCTGGCCGCACAAGAAAGGGAGGGAAGGACGCAGTGGCCAGTGATCTACGTAAAATGGGAGTGCAGCAGTGGGAAATAGCTGCTCAGGACCGACAACAATGGAGGGAAATAGTAAACGCGGCCAAGACTCACCTAGAGTTGTAGAGCCAAATGATGATGATAATGATGACCATCAGAACTAATGCGTTTGGCATACCAGTTTGCTAAAGAGAATAAAATAAAACACCGTTTCGACTCGATAAAGAAGATCGTTGGTAAAGATTGGTTAGCACTCTTTTTAAAGCGTCATTCAGACATTAGTGTTAGAAAACCCGAAGGTACCAGTCAAAACCGCATTTCTGCATTAAATAAAAATGAGATTAAACGATTTTTTAACAATCTGTTCACAGTTATTGAAAAGTTCAAATTTCCTGAGAGTCGAATTTTTAATGTAGATGAAACGGGTATTTCTACGGTCCAGAAACCATCAAAAATTTTGGCACCAAAAGGTTAAAAGCAAGTAGGATCCGTAATATATTGGGATAAAGAGAAAAATGTTACCATTGTATGCGCTGTAAATCTTTCAGGACAGTTTGTCCCTCCTATGTTCATATTCCCTTTAATACGTATAATAAAACATTTTTGTCAGCATATAAAGGCCTCGAAAGAAGATCCAGTGCTTCTCATATTGGATAACCATGGGAGTCACATTTCTTTGGAGATTTATACTGACTGCAGATCAGACGGAATTGTTATGGTTTCACTTCCCGCGCATACCTCACATAGGCTTCAACCTCTTGACCTAACTTTTTTTGGGCCCCTTAAGAATGCTTTCAATCGTGAGTGCGACTTGTATCTGAGAACTTATACTTATGAAAAGATCACACATTTTGAACTTGCTTCCATTTTTACGAGAGCATACCTGAGAGTTGCCACGATGGACAAAGAAATATCTGGGTTCCGTGCTGCTGGAATGTGGCCATGTGGCCCAGAGATCCTAGTAAATTCTCTGAAGATGATTTCAGCTTAGTAGAAATACCAAACCCCAACCGGGACCATCGAGATGTGATAAAAATATGCACAAGAGTCCATCTTATAATGCCAAATTGAAATCAAACCAGCAAGCTGCACCCTAGGCTGGAACGTCAGGAAATATTAAAACTCAGTCTAGTATACCCATTGAAAAGATAGCTCCTCTTCTTCCAAATTTATAAAGAAAAGTTCCAAATCACGTGCAAAACAATACTCGGAACTGTTTACTTCCACGCCACTAAAAACGCAGTTAGATGCGTTGTGTAATGTGTTGGGGCGAATTGGGCTCATTTAGAATGTAGTGGTTGAGACTCAGCAGTTAATTATACGTGCGATATGCGTGCCAAGGTCGAACGGACAGTCAGAAAGTAAAATTATCTCTTTAATGTTTTTTTTTTTAATTTTATCTTTAAGAAATCTTTTTGTTTACAATATTTTTTTAATTACAATTTTTTTTTTCGAATAAAGAGTTATTTGATTCTGGGCAGAATTACCTCGTACTTGGGGGAATACCGCGCAATGACAGTTTTTTAAAGTAAATTTTTTTCTTCAAAATCCGTTAAACTTTAATCCTATTTTTTATAGGAATAACGTTCCCAATAGATACAAGTTTCAGTAGTTAAATTATGGAAGTCTGTTTGCGCATAGGAAACTTTTTGTAAATATTTTACATTTTACCTTAGGTGCGCAGAATTCCTCTGTTTCCCCTACTTTTCAAAATACCACGTTTTTCTATTCAGACAGTGGACGTCACTGTGTAACTTTACTTACTAGGAAATTTTCTTAAAGCTTATTGTTTTTCTTTACTTGATTGTCTGTTCTCCATAATGTTGTAACCTCGGAAACTTTTTTTGAATGGTGCTAGAAAGGTCACCAATAGACACACTGCGGACGGCAGCCAGATGGTTGGTGGAGAATGAGTCGTGGGTTCGAAACTAGCTTTTGGAACCGGGAATGAGTCCAACGGACGAAATAAGTAAAGATAAGAAAAGACAAGATATATGAGAAAATATACAGAAATAAACAAAAAGATAAATGGGTAAAATTACCAAAGATGAGATAAGATAAAAACAGGGCGCCACTTAACTTTTTGGGGTTTAAGGAGAAAATTAAGAAACCTTAGAAAATAAAAGAAAAAAGGAAAGATATTTAGGTTATGTGACCAATTTCAAGGAAATATATTAACACTTAATAATTAAATAAATTTGGTCAATACTCTATATAAACAAATAATAAATATATTAGGGGTACTTCGTCCACCTACTTACCTACGAAACTTAATCAGCCTGATCTTTCTTCTGATCGTAGGTATAATAATAATTTAATATAATTAGCAAATATTCAGAGGTATTGTTATATCAGGAAACTTGTTAGGAGTCGACAAATAAAATTCATACATAAAACAAAAACAATATATTCAACACCATAGTCCTATAGGCGTCTAAATGTATACACAAGTAATAAAAATACACCATCAATTGATAAATGTTTACCTGTTTGTTCGGGATGTTAGGCAATTGTCTTCTGAGATTAGTTCTCGACGTTTCACCAACACTAGGGGTTGGCATCTTCTGGAGATGATACTGCTTCGCTTGTAACCTGAAACTGACGCCGCATTGTACTACGGAGACAATGTTTATATTTCCCATTCGACTAGATTGTCTATGGAAGAAAAAAGCTCAACTTCTTGCGTCGTTAGCTTTTCTATCACGATGTCGAGACAACTGGGTACTACCAAACTTCTTACGAACAAATCGATCCATCAGAACAAGTCAAGCCAATAGAATATATACACGTATGGAAAAAGCACTATTTCGAGAACGAATACATGACACCAGACGAAATTTGGCGAAAGTTGAAGGAGTTTCTAGATTTGTTTTACGTTTTGAACAGCAGGTTGAAATATGAATATTGGAATAAGATTGAATCCATTTGTTACAGGAAAATGGAAAATGAACTAGGAAGTAACACTGAACGCCAGAAAAACAAATACGAACGCTTAACCAAATATAAGAAGGTAGAATCAAAACAACACACATAAAGGACAGTGGTCAATCTTTCACATAAAGTTTTAACTCCAGCCGAAACATCATTGCTAGCTAAAGGGAGAAATTTTGCAATTGCCCCTAAAGTTATATACAAAGAAGATATCATCGCTTATATAGAGTCTGCGATTCGCAACTTACCAGTCGAAAAAGCTGAAGAAATAAGGACAAAATCAGCGAGAATTCTGCATAAAGCTAAGAAACCGAAAAATGAACTGAGCCACCAAGTAATCCGTGCCATAAAATCGTTAAACGCAGACAAAGATATTGTAATTTTACCAGCAGACAAGGGAAATGCCACCGTCGTAATGAAGACTACCGACTACAAAACGAAAATACAAAATCTTCTAGATCCTGCTGTATATAAGAAACTTAAAAAAGATCCCACAGCAGTCACCCTACGGAAAATCAATAGACTTGTGAAATCTTTATCCATAACAGAGAATATAAAGTCAAGAATATGCAACAGCGAAGCAGTCCCACCACGCTTGTATGGTTTGCCAAAAATCCACAAAGACGATGTATCTCTACACCCCATTGTGAGATTCATAGGATCTCCGTCCTACAGCCTTGCTAAATATCTGGCTGATATTTTACAACCACATATAGGAAAAAACGATGCCTTTGTAAAAGGCTCTGCCAATTTCATTGAGAAGATCAAAGGAATAACTTTACAGGAATCTGACATTCTTGTTAGCTTTGATGTTGTTTCCCTATTTACAAGAGTTCCCCTAGAAGACGTTCTGAATTTTATTAAGGAACTAGTTTCCAAGGATATGGTAGAATTATACGGTATGTGCCTCACCTCCACCTACTTTTCATGGGAAGACCAGATTTATGAACAGATAGATGGAGTAGCAATGGGAAGCCCACTAAGCCCGATCGTAGCCAACCTTTTCATGGAGCATTTAGAGAACAGGGTAATGGACTCAGCAAACAAGCCAAGGGTATGCTTTAGATACGTCGATGACACTTTTGTGATTTGGGGTCACGGAGTAGAAAAACTTAACGATTTCCTGTCTTATATAAACACACTACATCCAAATATTCAATTTACGATAGAAACAAAAAAAGATCAACAACTAGCGTTCCTAGGTTTATTAGTAAATCTTATATATTTAGATATCTAAACAGGAACTCAAATCATCATCCAAGCCAAAAACAAGGTATCATTAAAACTCTGGCGGAGAGGGCGAAGAGAATTTGTGAACCACAGCATTTCCAAAGTGAACTTCTTCATATTGAAAAAGCGCTCACCTCTAATGGTTATACCAGAAGAGAAATACATAAAGCGCTGAAGATCTCTAGGAGAAAGGACGAAGAAACAGAATGTAAAGGCAAAGCGTTCTTGCCCTATATATCGTGGGTAACAGGACAGAATTGGGCTAATACTTAAGAAAGCTTATTCCTTGTTTTTCCATTGCTACCCAAAGCATTAAAAGTGGTACACTATCATATGCCTTTGTCAGATCTATAAAGACTATATGAGTTGAAAGGTTGTGGGCTAATCTTTTCTCGATAACTTGCTTTAGAGAGAATATACTGTCCATGCAGGATCTGCCTGCACGAAAGCCATTCTGTTCTTCTACATCTGTCATCTCTTTTTCAATTTTATTTTTTATTATTTTTCCATACAGTCTTGAGAGTGAATTTATGACACTTAGCCCCCTGTAGTTTGAACAATTCTTTCTATCTCCTTTTTTGTAGATGTTGTTAATATGTGCTTTTGTCCACTCCGGTGGTAAGTCGTGTCCATTATAGAATAAGGTGAAGACATACGCCAGTAATTCCCGTAATACATGTGGGCTATATTTTAATAATTCATTTGGTATAACTTGTGGTCCGCATGACTTTCGATTTTTTCGTATTGCATTCTCGACTTCCTGTACTGTTATTTCATCGTCTTCACTTATTTCCAGTTCATATGTTGTTGTAAAGAAGTTCGTGAATTGAGGTCTTGTTTCAGTCAGAAGTTGTGAGTAGTGTTTGATCCAAGAATTTACTTCTATTAAATCTATTCTACTCGTTTCTTTTCTGTTTGTTCTCAGATTTTTTACCGTTTTCCATGCTTCTCTTGATCTTGTCATCAAAATCTATGACAATAATCTTGAAAAAAAAATAGAAGAATGGACTCCGCTAACTAGAAGAAAACGAGGTAGACCAAGACAATCCTGGAGAGACGATGTCGACGATGCAATGACCGCCAATGAAAGCGAACTTAAAGACACCATTTTCTAGCCTACAAATAAAATCAAGGACTGTTTAAGATCGGTGAAAGACAAACGCGGTCCATTAACAACGGCCGGAGTATACAGAATACCATGCACATGTGGAATGGTATATGTGGAAACCAGAAAAAGGCACATAAACACAAGGATAAATAAACATAAAAGCCATTGTCGTTTAGGACATATCGACAAATCTGCCATTGCCGAACACGCTTTGGGAAGCGGAGAACATCGAATATTGTTTGAAGAAACGCATATGCTGGACAAAACTTAACAGTACTATCCACGGTTGTATCGGGAAGCGGCGGAAATATATAAGCACCCAAATAATTTTAATCGGATAGAAGAAGGACTGAAAATTAACAAGACATTGATCCCAACATTAAAATCCACAAACACCCTTCCCGCCAAACACGAAGAAAGAAAAGCGACTACAAATGACGACACGCTCCCTCAAGCCGAAACCAGTGGAGGAAAGGCGAGTGGAAAATATAAATATTGTCTCCGTAGTACAACGCGGCATCAGTTTTAGGTTACAAGCGAAGCAATAACATCTCCAGGAGACAACAGCCCGAACAAACAGTTTAACAACTGAGACGATGGCAGTGAAAGCCTAACGCAGATTATCAATTGATAAATGGTTGTATACATATAGAAATAAACATGAATATGAATAATAAATTACTTTACAAATACAATATAATGAAATCATGCACAAATTAAATTCTCAGCGAAGAAAGCCTGATTGTGATAAAAAACAAATTCAACCAAAGTTAATTAAAGAAAGTCTCTTCGCTATTTAATGGGCGTCTCATGAGATAATCGTTACAGTAAATAAAAAAAATAACTAACAAAGAACACAAAGTTAATTAAAGTTAAATTCATAGAATACAATAAGGTTTCAAGAATGCTGCATTATAAAAATTAAACCACCCGCACTTGGTTTTAGTTAATTACCTATTCGCACTGTTGTTTAATCATTACCGGAGGATTAGATGTTTGTAATTATGATTTATTAGAAGTTCTTAAAGTTGATTAAAAGTTCGTAAGAAAATATTAAATGTTCTTTTAGTTCAATTGTTACATGGGTAGTTAACCCTAACTACAGGTGATGAGATAGTCGACGTAGATTCGCCCATATAAGTGAGGATACTATGATTACCATAGTATTCGCCCAGATAATTGAAGATAATTATTATGATAACTTACAGTAAATCTTGATGACTGCTGCACTAATTCACTGAAGCTAATATACTTTACTTGTATTAAGCACTGAAGTTATTTAATGTTAAAAGTACTTTCTAACTATATTTAATATAATATAGTATTAGATTTAGAAACTCAAACTATATAAGTGTATACACACTAAAAAAAATGCACAGATACGGTAATATGAGCGAGCGTCTGTCCTCAAAGATCGCGCCACTAAAAGTAATGTCGTTCCGTTAAAATTTTACCAAACTACCCAAGAAAGGTGGGATATCTCCCCCTCAAAAACGACAGATCAGCCTGTAGGTATTTCTAAGAAGACGAAACGATTCTAAAGGTTCGAGGTAAACAACGGTACCAGCAATTGGAATGCGAGGAAAATAAAATCTTTTAGGTTAGGTTTTACAGAAAATTACTATGCATGTGCGTTCGACGATGTTGTTTGCCAAAGTATCAAACAGAAACCCGCCTTAAAGCCGGAAAAAAATTAACCGAGGATTACCTAAATCGTCGTCTTTAATAAGTCGGTTCTTTCCTCCGTAATATTTCGGTAGTCAGTAGATTGCAATAAAATTTTCTAATCGTAAACACGGATTAAAAAAGGAAAAGGGATTAAAATTAATTTAATATATTAACTATAAAAAAATGTTACAATGTTACTGTGCCATTTTATTATTTTTTTTTAATCCTAGTTCTTCAAGTGGTTCTTCAAGGTCCCCCTCAACGTTTCTTTGGAATATATTTTTCATATTCGAATTTTGATATTGGTGACACTCTTCAAGTTTTTTTTAGCAGTAAAATATGTTCTGATATTCTTTAATTATATCCTTCATGTTTGTTTTTACCAAGATCACATCAAATAGTGTCAATATATATCTGAAAGGAATATAACAACAAAGATAAGAATGGAGAAGGAAGACCTGAACATCATCCGAGTATACGGCCCAGGCAATTACAAGCCTCAAATAACTAGAAAACGTTTTATGACCAATTAAAACAAGTAGTAGATCAAGTGAGAGGAAAGATGATAATATTGGGGGATTTTAAAGCTCGAATAGCCAATCGAGTGATACCCGGAATTAAGCAAAAACGTAATGAGGATGTTAAAAACAAAAATTGGGAACTGGTGATAAACTTCTGCACGAATAACGAACTTAGAATAAACAACAGGTTTTTGACCACAAAGACCTTTAGAAATATACATTTAATAACACCTGTGGACAAATATCTATAATAGATTATGTTATATCCAACAGAGATATAAGTCGTTTTACCCTGTCGTATTTCGGATTAACGCCCGAAAAATAATTTATGACTCTAGTTACAGCCACTCTGTTATGCTTTCCCTTTTCTACCTGCTTTGTGGTACCGAACCTCCTACTGGTCGGCTGTAGTACTTGAGGATAAATAAAGAGAACCGCTGATTACCTGTGGCAAATCTGAACAGACACTTTTATTACTTATGCGGCAGGCTAAAACGATCCTACTTTATACATCCATCGAAAATAATCGACCTCAACTCTTCAGTTGAGGTATCTTCAATCGAAGATACCTCAACTTAGCAGATTTTTATAGCAAGTGTATAATATGTATATCTTACCCAATGACATTTCAACCGTATCGTTTCAAGAACAAAATATGATTGAAAGGTCAGATAGTGGTAGTGCAGATGTCTTTCCTAGGTCGCGTGTTTACCTTACCGGACAAACAGTGTGACTTGTCATCCTAACCTTTTTTATAGATAGACTACACTGATCCTATATTGTGGTTTTGTTTTTTATATGATATAATAAAATAAAGTTAAACTTCTGTTTTTTTTTTAGAGCGGATTTCGAAAAAAACTGTGAATATTACATTAATGTATTCTCGCCCGCATTAAGAATGGAAGGAGAGTACGAGATGAAAGGAAAAGTATTAATATTTCCTTTAAATTCAAAAGGAAATTGTAATGTAACTTTGGGTAAGTTGTAGGTTAAGTTAAGGAAAGGCAGTAAGTTGTAACAACAAAAGTTGTCGGGTAACAAATCATTACAGCCAGATAATGTGAAAATTTGGATGAAAAGATGTGACGATCACCTTCAAAATGAAATGATGTTTGAATGAAGATGAAATCATAAATTTACCAACCAACGAACTAGTGAAAATTGGGAGAGTAATTACGGTGAAGAGGAGAAAACTGTTCCTAAAAAGAAGCTAAAATAAAATGTGAATTGCATTAAAGTACATTGAGCAGCAATATAAGTAAACACCATTAGACGTTTTGGTGATGAGAAAATGGAGAAATATGGTACTGCATTGATATATTAAATATAAAATACATATATCAAAATGTAAAAAATACCTCTTTATTTATTTATACATACACTGTGTGTAAGCCATATGGAATAAATTAGCTAATAAATAAATGAGGAAGTATTCGAAAAAACGGTCGAACACTCCGATTAGTATTTAAAAATACCAACTTGCTTATTTTAAATAGAACATCCTGTATACTAAATAATTTTTAGATTCTTCAAACCATTTTATACATTTTTTGAATACAATGTCCTATACCTATCTTTGACTGTTTTGGAAATATTAAGTAAAATGTAAAAATTCACATTTAGCAATCAAAATTATCTATTTGCCGAAAGTCTGTGGGTTTCCTGGATCAGGATACAAGTTAGCCAACGTTGGCACAACATTATTTTGGACCAATGCTAAATAATTGTCGCAATTCAAATTGCCATCTATGAAAAAGGGACCTATGATCTGATCTTCAATAATTCCTGCCCACACGTTAACCTTCTCAGCGTATCGAGGATTGCCTTCTCTTATGCAGTGGGGATTTTCCCTGGACCAATAGTCGGGACCATGAGTTCCTAAGTGTGTATACTTTTGTAGGGATGCATTTTGTTTTCATGTAATATTCGAATAACCGATGAATAGCTAATATCGAGTACTGGAGCTGCTTTTCGAACAGAGTTATGTGGGTGTTCCTCAAACTCAAGCATAACAGCCAATTTGGTATCCTCACTTATTGCATTGGCAGCTTCTTTTTTTACCTTCCTAACATGGCTCAGCTCGTGGAATTGCTTCTCTATTTTACTAGTTGTCCCTTGAGGTATGTGCGGCAAAGCAGGAAATGCTTCGAGAAATAAACGAGCTACTCTCATTTGCGTCGGCGTCTTATCTCCATAGCCAATCATCTGTATAATTGTCATGAAACTATAAAACATTGGCGCTTTAAACCAAAGTAAACATTTTTTGTTTTTTTTTTTAACCTATCAATAAAAAGGAATCCTTAAATAGTTTTTGCTTATTTTATCATCACCAAGACCTAAATGGACAAGAAGTAATAAGACAGTGGTAGCGACTTTCGACAAATAAATAATTTTCTTTTCTAAATGTGAATTTTTGCATTTTACTTAATATTTCCGAAACAGTCAAAGATAGGTATAAGACATTGCATTCAAAAAATGTCTAAAATGATGTGAGAAATCTAAAAACTAATTAATATACAGTGTGTTTCTATTTAAAATAAGCAAGTTAGTATTTACCACCGATATCTGATACGGCCCGTATAAAAAGTTTTTATGGAAAAAAATGCACAACTTTAAATACTAATCGACGTGTTCGACCGTTTTTTTTTTTCGAATACTCCCTCATTTATTTATTAGCTAATTTATTCCATTTGGCTGACACACAGTGTATACATACATAGGGTGTGTAATATTCTCTACAATAATGTATTATAAACCTCAAAAATATCTTTTCCATCCTAAAATAAATGTATTCATAATATGTATATTAGAATAAATATACATATTATGATATAATAAATAGAAAACGTTTATAGCTCATAACTGCTCGAACAATTTCAATCCCGGTACCATCTCTTTAGACTATCTAGACTGGTCTAATGTCAACTGATCTATTTCGAGCTGTTGTGAGTAGAATAAGATGGGTAAATATGGTCGTCAACATATCTAGAAGATTTGCACATTTAGAAGACCGTCTCTTTCCCTAAGTTCCATCACATTTGTGTGATTATCGTGCTTTATGCCAATCACATAGAAGAGTTCGAAAAAGACCAATAACTCACTTATGTTCAATACTATCTCTATCTCTCAAATAATGTGTTTTATTTCCATTTTTATTTATATATAAATTAATAAAAATTAGGATTTCATCAACCATATCAATATTGATAGTAAAAAAAAATCTTCTTTTAATCCCGGTGGTATTCTTATCATGTTTTGTTACTTCGACTTAGACGTGGAAAAAGAAGTTTTATACCACTAACTTGTCTCATCCTTGCCAATGAATGCATCTTCAATGCTTTCGTAAAACACGTCTTCCTTATCTGGCACATCTTGCTCTGAACATGTCGCACCTATTGTACTATACCGTCACTTATGCATCTGATATAATTTTTCAGGAGAAGCGTTTGAAAATTCAACATCCTATTACATTGTATAGTTTTTTTCGAATTAAAAAATAAAATAATAAAATTTAAACTACAACTTTAAACTTAATTTTATAATAACAGTAAACGTCTCACTAATTATTATTCTAAAAATATAAACATTTAAAAATTACTACCTTCGCAGAAGTGACGTTATGGGTCTAGAAAATAATTTATTCTGTCAATTATGTCAAAATGAATACAACACGAAATCATACATTTCTAAAAAAATATTTATTAAAATAGCAAAAAAGTGTAACAATATTTCTAAATTGTACATAGTTACTTTTCTATTATTAACAAAAATTAAATTAAATTATGATAACAACTTTCATAGTATCTTGGCACGAGATTAGCCATTAATAATTACATTAAATCACTCTTTTTACGCTCTGCATTGGTATTTTGTTGTAAACTTACATCAAGGTAATTTCGTCCATTCTTTGATTGCCTCTATTGCCGCGTAATTTTTTCGGTTGAACAATAGCTTTTCTTTCTCCCAATTTTCAATTTTATATGTGGTTCGATATTGGTAATTTTCAGAATTTTTGGTAAATCTAATACTTCTGATGTCATTGATCTTGATAATACTACCATTGACATTTTTCGCCATATTAAACTTCATGTTATCTTCGAGTGATTTCAAATCGAGGAAATCGTTAAAGTTCATTTCATTTACTACAAACGGTTTGGTAGTCTTTTTGGCTTCACGAATTAGGAAAATGTATTGATTGGGAATGTAAATACATCTATTATTTTTGGCTCTAGTTACAGATTTTTCTATTACTGAGTGAGCTGTATCACCTTTGTTCTGCATGTGGCCTCGAATCAAGAAGTTGTGTTTAATGTAGTTATTATTTAAGCGACTCACTGCATAGTGCTACCTTGCAAAAACAAAAGTATTTTTTGCAGTCCGCAGCAATTGTCAGAGTAAATACTAGCATCGCAACATGGTTTTTCAAATACAATCTGCTCTAAATATTTATACACACACGACACTATTTCGATGGCAAAAATAACAGGTTGTATCTTGCTTGTTTGCATTGGATATCGTTAAATTATACCAATTAAGTCTTGATTTGTAGTAAAAAGAGCTTAATTTGCCAACAGAACATCGTAACACAGCTTGTAAGTCATAGGTAAAAACAATTGTGTTGTTGTTAGGTTCATGACATCTTTTCATATCTCTGTCGTTCTCATGTCTACTTCAGCTTTTTTCTTCCTGGTGCAATTTGAAATTGTCACGTAATTTATTTTTTCTTCTTAAGAAGCATTTTCGTATGCCTAACACTCATTGTACCGATTTTTTTTTGTGTTTGAAAAAACCAATGTTAAAATCGTGGTTAAGCACGTAAAATCCGTGAGTAAGCGTCGTATACTAAAACAATTTTTAATTGAAGGTGATTACTTGGCAACATCGTACTTAACGAAGCCCTTAACGATAACTTTTCAACGAAATCGTATTGAAATTATCAATTTTGCAGAGGCGTACCAAAAAAATTTTTAATTATTTATTTAAACACATAAGTAATTACGTAAAAATTAAATCTAAGACCGATTTAATTATTAAATTATCATGTCTCTTTTAACAGGTATCTTATAGTTGTCTAACAAAATAAAATAAAATTTTATTCTTATTAGAGAGTATCTAATACAGAACTTCAAAAAACAGAAAACTTTGGAAAATATTTTTTTTTTTTCATTAGGCTAAAAACAATCTGCAATTTTAATTACACATAATTACACATCATTCTCTATTTATAGAATTGCTGTGTGCTGTAAACGTTATATTTGTTTTTTTTTTAAACTTAATTTGAAAGTTTGTTGTGTTTATTCGTTTACATAAATATGAAAATATGTTATGAAGTTCATATAAAATAAAATGAAGTAAGCTAAACTATTATCATATGAATGTGTTTATATAGCAGTGCATTTGTTTATTTCAGTAATTTCTTGAAATATGAAATGAAGATGGCACTAACTACTAAAGAGTTAATAGCTTTGTTGGAAGAAGACTCAGATTGTGAAAATGCCACTTAATGTGGTTTATTTGCCGCCGAGATTAGATTAGAAAGTTTCTGATGTAGAAGACATTGATCTTCTTCTTCTTCTTCCTTCTAGTTTGTAGGCTTTAAAGCCTGTTTCTTCTTCAATATTAGCTTCCTAAATTGTTTAAATTGTCGCAACATCTTTTTCTTGGTCTGCCAATACTTCTTCGTCCATTTGATGACTTATCTCGTGCTATTCGTACTATTCTATCCTCCGCCATTCTACTGATGTGTTTGTTCCACTTTTGTTTTCGTTTTGTCACCCATTCATTTATGTCTTCTATATTGCATGCTCTTCTTATGTTTTTGCTTCTCTCCCTATCCAACAGACTTCTCCTTGATATTCGTCGGAGTATTTTCATCTCTGTTGTTTCTAGCAGTCGTCTCGTTTTAGATGTGTCAGGTCTTGTCTCAGCCGTGTATATAGGTCTAATTCCTGCTTTATAGATTCTTGTTTTTGTGTCTTGTCTTAGGTGTTTGTTCTTCCAGATTGTGTCATTAAGAGAACCCGCCGCTTTACCTTCTTTTAAGCTTTGCTGTCGTACTTCTCCTTCAACATCTCCGTAACTAGTTATATCTATTCCCAGATATCTAACCCTTGCTTCCGGCTTTATTATTTTCCCATCAATTTCGATTTTACACCGTAGTGGGTATTTAAATGTCATACATTTGTGTTTTTCCGCTGATATTATCATATTGTATTTCTTAGATGTTGTATTGAAGATATGTGTTAATCTTTAGAGCTCATCTTCTGTCTCGGCGATTAATGCGGCGTCGTCTGCATAACATAATATTTGGATTTCTTTGTTCCCAATTCTGTAGCCATGACTTTTACGTACTACTTGTATTATTTCGTCCATTAATATATTAAAGAGAAGTGGGCTTAACGAGTCACCCTGTCTCCGCTTTGTACCGGTATACACTGTGTTAGTTTTCCATTTATCTTTGCTTGTATTGGTTTATGGAGGTAGATGCTTTCGATGGTTTGTATAATATTGATTGGTATGTTCCTTTTATACAGTAGGTGTAAGACGTCTGCGACTTGGATGCGATCGAAAGCCTTTGTCAGGTCTATAAAACATAGATATGATGGCCTTTTCTGTGATTTGTCTTAGTACAAATACGGCGTCTACGCAGGATCATCTGGATCTGAATCCTTGTTGTTCATCTGATAAAGTTGTTAGTTTATTGATTTTGTTGGTTAGGACTTTTGTGGTAAGCTTAAGTGCGGTGTTCAGTAGATTTATACCTCTATAAATGTTGGGGTCTTCTTTATCTCCTTTCTTGACCATTGGTATCATTATCCTGTGTCTCCATGCGTCTGGTATCTTGCAGTGCAATATTAGTTTTTGTATAAGTTTTGTCATCTCTAGGCTTAAACTTTCTCATCCGTATTTTAGAAGCTCGTTGGTTATTCCGTCTGGTCCTGGTGACTTTCTATTTTTGAGTGAATTTATGACTATTTCTACTTCGTGAAAACTGATTTCTATTTCGTCTCTTAGTTCAGGTACGTTATTGTGTTGATTATTATTTTCCTTTGCTTTAAACAGTTCCGTCAGGTATCTTTCCCATTCGTTTGCTGGTATATTATTGTATTCCTTGAAGATATTGATGATAATATTATTTGTGAAGAATCAATAAAATCGGATATTGCAGGTACATATGAAATACAAGTGATTGGGAATTCTAACGATTCTAATTATGATATTCCTCTGAACCACAGATAAAACGTCCAAAGAAAAAACCAATAAGTAAAAATAACATAGATTTAAAAAAATTATTAACATATGTATATTATCTGGTTTACACTCTGCTTCAAGTTGATATGCATTGGTCAAAGGATGAGGATAAAGAAGTGCATACTATAAGAGAAAGCATGAGCCGACATAGATTTATAATTTTAATTTATAATAGTGAAGAAACCGCTACATCAGTGTCAGTACATGGGCGTCAATCTAAATTTGCTTTACCAGATGAAACCAGATTCGACAATATTGGCCACATTATAAAAAGAGACGATAGTGCAAAAATGTAGGATGTACAAAAGTAATACTATTTATTTATCTAAAAAATTTAATTTACGTTTAAGATATAATATGTTCCTTTATTAAAAATTGTACTGTTTTCCTTAAAAATGAGAAAAAAAATCTTTCTGGTTGTAATTTATTCCTAATTTGTGTTTTTAATCCAATCTAATAAATTAATTGTCAAATTTCTCTTTGTATATTGAGCGGCCGTTAAGGGTTTAATACTATATAAAGAATAAACTGGCCTTAAATTTACTTTACTTACCTCAAAACTATTTTAAAGTTAATAATAAAGTATATTAATTAAATATATTCCCAATAATACACTACGCCTATGTACATTGTATAAAATCTGGAAGATATCATATTTCATAAACTTCAATAAGCTAAGATATCATATTTCTCTAATTAACATTCTTTCTAAAAACGTAAATATATATAGACCAGCAAAATATTGATAATTTTACCTATGTTCCAAACTATTCTATGAACTTGTCTCACTATACACTCGTGAATCGCACCAATTTATACTGTTACGGGGGCAAATTTATCTTAGATGGGTTACAAATTTACATATTTACATGGGCGAAGCATACAGAATAAAAATGACCCCGGTAAGAATTTACTAATGAAATTTTTCATGGTTGCCGCTACCGTTTAGTTCAATTTGTAGATTAGTCACCTTTAATTGAAAATTGTCCGACTATAGTTCACAATAAGCTTGTTTTGTTCTTTCTAAATTGTGGAATAATTTCTATGGAATTCTCCCACTTTCAAACCTCCATCAATAAATTGTCTGCTAGTACTATCCCTGAAATAGTGACTCCCAACCTTTGGAATCGATTCGATATGATCCTATACTGCTTGTATAACTTCAGGTTCCAATGTACATTGTTTTCCGTGTTTTCCTTTTTGATCATGTGGAATAAAGCCATCATTCTGAGCTTAGCTGTCGATAACCGTCCTTAAAATTTGTTGTGTGATACCCAAAGTATTTCTGTTCTTTTTTTGTTCAGAAAATTTTGCAGCATAGGACAACCGACATTTTGAGGTACATGTAGGTCCCATTGTTTTACCCTAAATTAGTTTTTTTGTTTTTACTAAAATATACATTTGACCAGATTTCTTCAATCTGTTAGCAACATTCGTTTTTCAGGTTTTTGGATTACACGTCCGCTTTCTGCCTCTGGGTTTAGTTATAGGTTGCGCTAGTTGGTAATGCTCGTGAATAAGACTCCCATTATTAGAATTATTGTTTTTTACAGGAGTGCTACTTAAACTGCCACTGGAACTGCTACTGCTAGAACTGCTATTGGAGCTACTGGATGAAGACGATCTTGAACGAGGCCTGTATTCATCTCCTGAATCAGTACCAGAGAAATCGTTTGTTTGGAAGTCAATACCCTCTTGTTCATACGTTTTATTAGTGGCAAATAAAACAGAATGAGAGTTTCCGGTGTTCGCTAAAGTAGTATTATCATCCTGCTCTGGAGTAGTTGTTGTTGGGTCACCTAGGTTGGACGGTGGTACTTGATCCTTGAAATTTGTAGTATGAGATAATTCAAACGTGGCAAATAAAACAGAATGATAGTTTTCGGGGTTTGCTAAAGTAGTATCATCATCCTGCTCTGGAGTAGTTGTTGTTGGGTCTTATCTAGGTTGGCTGATACTTGATATTTGGAATTTGTATTATGAGACGATGTATTTTTTGGATAAGAAAATGGTATCCTTGTCGAGTTAGCTAAATTGTCAATTTCAACCGAGTTTTGAAGTTCAAGTAGCACAAGGTTTTTGCTGCCTTGGTTCATTCTGAAAAAAAAACATAATACAAAATTATGATAACAAATAGGTAACCAAAAAATATGATATCAAAGTAAATTATTGACTGATTTATCACGATTATGATTTTTAATTACCACGAAATAATTACTTATTAGATTTCTTAACGGCAGTGGCGGCTGTCTCTTTAATGCGCTTTTAACTCACATTGGTAATACTAATACTAATTATAAAAAGAATTTCAAACAAAACAAATGATTGCTTAAAAATAAAGAAAATTAATAAAATAAAATTTTATTAAAATTAGCGACACAGCCGATATCATTTCCCAATTTAATGTAGGAATTTATATAAATTACTATCTGAACATCTAACATCAACTAAACAGATTTCATTTAACTTCATTTAAAAATTCGGGATAAAAAGATATCATAATTTATATTTTCTCATCAATTCAGCATGTCGGAACAATTATCATAAAATTAATCACCAAAAACATAATCCTACTATACTGGAGCAATATCATCACAAGTATTAATCTAATGTTTAACTTTAAACCATAAAATATAAAGTTTGGGGAAACAACGTCACTTGTTCGCTACACAAGTGTCGTTATTTCTCCAAAAACATAAACATAAATTATCACAATTACCTTAGTAACGTTGTAGCTCCACGAGACTGCACAAGTGTCGTTATTGCTCCAAAAACATAAACCTAATTTGACACATTAGCGTTCAGATTCGCGCCAAAACCGTAATGGCACAAGTGCCCCACGAGGAAACTATACGTACTACACAAATAACAATAACGCAGCAAGTAAAGAGGTGGATTAGGAGTATTTTCTCATACTGTTCAGTTTGGACAAAAATGGCATATATGACGTTATTGCACCGTAGGTGCGATGTATCGTCTTGGTTCTCTTCAATTTGTTGCTCATTCAAATCACTATCACTCTCCAATATCTCATCTGTTTCATCTTCAATATCTGTCATATTATTTAGAATTACCACTAATTGTGCTTGAATTAACACTTTCTTTGTATTTATATTGTATTTATATTGTAATTATTAACTTATTTAATAAATAAACTACTTACCAATAAAATTTTAATTTCTCGAAACATACACGATAATAAATATTAGTTATTTCAAAAAAGTTTTTGCTCGACCTTATAGCCATTGTCTGCCTCCATGCACGATGCACTATTCATGATAATTGTATTTAAATTTTACGATTTACGAGACGATAATAGATACCGAGTGAGGAGTAATCAATAAGGGAATTTTAAAAAGATCACCGTACATAGCATATTCCTAACACTTTTCCTGGAAACATTGAGTTACGCAGCAAATTAATGCGGCGCGCCCGGCCGAAGGTTAAATGACTTATATTTTTATTATTATTAATATCTTAAATATACATTTTTTATTTTTTATTTTTTATTTCAGTGAAAAATCATGCTGTTCATGCAATGCAGTGTGAAAGATATCAAAAAAATGGTAAAACGTTCATGAAGTGGACCAATTATACCATAATATTAAATCCTACTAATGTGGTATACGATTTTGACAATATATTTCCTGCAAATCCACAGATAGAAAATGAAATTCAAAAAACACTTAATGATAATTCTCTTTCAATATTTAAGGAGGTAAAAGCTTCATTTGAACGTATATTTTCGATTATATATCTTAATAACGGCAACAAAATAATGTCCAAAGTTCCGATAGAGGAAATGGATCTTCCTTAATTGTCACGTAATTTTTTTAAAGTAAATATTATATAAAGTATTTTAATAAATGTTTTGTTCTTTTTTGTTGGTTCATTATCTTAAACTATTTACCTACTTATCATACGTTATTAAAATATGTATATAAAGTGTTTCCACCTAAATCTGAAATATTCTTGTCTGAAATGTGTCGTTCTATTTTAGGACTAAAATTTTGTATGAAAATACAAGTATTGTAATTTTTAAGATACAGGGTATTAAGTTTTTTTTTGTAATATAAGAGATCTAGCTGTAAGCGGAATTTATTATTTGATATACATACACAATGTGATAAAATTAGTATTTAGTAAAAGTGGCCAGAAATTTTGAATTGCATAAGAATGACTTAACCAGCAATTTTATTCATATGCATATCGTTCTAGCATCAGTAATTTCAAAAATAGTGTAAAAGATTTCCTGAAAGACAAATCCCCGAAAGAAATTTACCGAATGGACAGTTCCCCGAATGTATAATTCCCCTAAACACGAATGGACCAAATGAACAATTGACAGAAAAACAATTGCCCTAAAAGAGAATTGATTAAAAAATATTTAAGTAGTTATTAGTTTACATGTATTTCCTATATACTAATACGGTAACTGAAGTGCTATTTAAATTATTACTGTATCTATTACTGATTGTGTTCGACCTGGCTATCTCGTTAATTAATTTATTATTATAATATATATTTAATCTTTATATGTATTTCCTATATACTAATACGATAAGTTATGTGCTATTCCCCACAAGAATTGAGGGCAATAACCCCTTGCTAATTGCATATTTGTTTGCTGTTCTTATTGATAATAATATCTTTAAATAAATTCTATTTAAGCTGGTTACCTGAAATTGGGAAATTCCACTCTTAAATTCCTTATAAGTACACCCCAGTAACAGAGACTACAATATGTGCCATTAGTCTTAATACTAACCAAAACAACTAAATTTTATATAAATACTTAAACGAAAGTTTTCTATTGCATTATTGTCAAATCTGTGAGTTAGGGTCACGACGCAAAATGGCTTTGGAGTGTGTACTTAGTGAAAAGTGTAAGAGTAAATTATTGATCGACGGTTATCACTACCAGAAAGACAAAGAAAAGAAAAAAATTTATAAGAAATTCAAGTGTAAAGCTCGTGTCATAACCTTAGAAGATGCAGTGGTATAAAGAAGTGGGACACACAACCATATAGCGAATGCAAGGCAAGTGAAAAAAAAAACAAAAAAATTTCAATGGAATACGTAAAAACGCTACACAAACCCAAGATAGGCCCCATTACATAATATCCACTGCATCTCTTTAGCTTAGTCAAGCTACAGCTGCCACGCTTCCAAAAGTGAGCAGCATTAAAAGAACAATAAGGAGTGTACGAAGTAGTCAGCAAGCAGCTCCAGCTTTACCTCTTCACAGAAGAGACGTTATTTTTCCAGAAGAGTATAAACTAACACAAAACGAAAAACAAATTTTACTATTTGATTCAGGCCCACACGATGGTCGGTTAATAATTTTTTCAACAACACAAAATCTGCTTTTTCTGACAAGGTGGTTTGCCGACGGAACTTTTAAAACTGTACCTCACCTTTTTTATCAACTATACAAATCCACGTATTAGACAAGAATACTGCAATTACTTTAGTATACGCACTACTACCTAACAAGACAGAAGAAACTTATGTTCGGCTACTTTCAAAATTTAAAGAACTTTTGCTTGGAGCTTCGCCTGCAACCATATTAACAGATTTTGAAAGCGGAATGATAAGTGCTATAAGACAAAAATATCCCGACTCAAGACATCGTGGGTGCTTTTCCATTTCACTCAATGTCTCTTTAGAAGAATCCAGTCAGACAGTTTTAAAAAGAAGATATGAAACTCATTCAGATTTTGCCTTTAAAGCTGCGATTATTGGCGGCCTTACCATTCCTTCCTACTGCAGACCTAGTGGAGGCATTTAAAACGATTTTCAAGCAAGATGTGTTGCCAGCAAAAGCCCAGTCAGCAATTGATTAATTTGATAGATACCTGAATCGGAAAACGTCATTTGCCCTTATTTTCACATGATCTGTGGAATTTTTATGATGGGGTCCAAGAAAATTTTTCGCAAACAACAGATTTTTCGCAAATCATCCAAACATTTGGGGTTTTATTAAAGGTATTCATCTATATAGCAGGCTTGGAAGGCCTTTCTACACATAAAAAAAACCAGAGATTGTGCAGAGCAAATTGCAAGTCTGGTAAACAATTACGACCCTGCGAACAATCCCGAATTCTTGCGGCGAAAAGCGCATAATTTATCGTATTATTAGATATATAGAAAATACATATAAAGATCATATGCATAAACGAATTTAAAAAAAAAATAATAAAAAATAAAATAAACTTTAAAAAGTGAACCTAAACAGTAATAAATATTTAAATAGCACGTAAGTTACGGTATTAGTATATAAGAAAATACATATAAAGCAATAACTATTTAAATATATTTTTGGGTCAATTCTCTTTTCGAGCAATTATCTGCCAATTGTCTATTCCGGCAATTGTTCATTCGGGAAATTGTCCATTCAAGAAATTGTCCTTCGAGAAAATGTTTTCGGACAATTGTCCGGGACCCTTATATCAGGCCGTACTGTAGACAATTGACTTTATGAGAAGAAGGTCCCAATATGGGCCCTATATTTTGTTCCTTTAAAATATCTTTTCCTCTCTAATGATAATTGTGGGAAATTGGAAACATACTTAGATTTAACATTTGTTAATAATATTGCCTAGTTATTTATTTAAAACCTTTTAAACGTCAACATTCCCCTTTTGAAAACACAATAAAAAATTTGTTAGATTTAAAAACCATTAAAATATTTACAGATGTAATAAATGAGCTTTCTATATATCATTCTTAGTTTCTGTTAGCTGAGATGTTTTTTTTTCTTACATGATACTTTTAAAAACGGTGTCAAATAACGTCCACATTCATGTCATTTGATTTTTTGTACTAAAGCTATTGCTGGGAGTCGTTACTATACCAAACTGTAGTTTATTTTTAAAAGGAAATACGGTAAATGAATCATATAAAAAATATTTACACAAAAACACCTTTAGGTAACATTTCTAAAGATATTACGTTTATCATTCATTACTCCCAAAATAAGAACGTTGGCAACAGTAAAACACTATTATTCAAAGTTCGCTACAGAATTCCCGTTCACAATATATGTTATGGCTTGGATTAGTCACCACAAGTTAGAAAAGAACACGTGGTGTTTAGAATAACTTTGAGTTTTAGTTAGGTTTTAGTTGAGAAATGCATACCTTTTTGGATCCAAAAGCTTTTTGTGCCAAGTTGGCGGCAGTAAAAAAGCATAATACCTACTTATATATTTATACATTTAGATCATCTACACGAAGGTACATATATTATAACTGTACTCGACGACGTGGAAGCTTCAACATCTCCAGAACCAGTGGATACTGTTATTTTTCTTCTGACTCAGCACATCGTATTAAAACCAACAAAGATACTATCCTCCGATCAGAGATATTCCTGACGTACCAGACGAATTACCCGCTTAAGTAGAAACTCATACTTATAAATCTTCCGAAGAGGATAAGGAAGAAAATATATCGGTTCAACGTATGTGGAAAACGCCAACTGTGACTTTAATAGTGCCTTACCTAACAATTCGGATAAGTTCTGTTGTGTCAGAGTGCGTTGATTTACATGAAACTAATTTCTTATTTCCTCGCTTTAGTACGGCTTGAAGTTGCTCATATATGTTTTCTTAAGAGTATATAAGGAAACTAAATTCCTGTTATTTTGTTAAGAGATTGAAGCTTATGACATACGGCAACAACCGTCTAACCCACATTTGTTCACAAATGAGGTTATAAATGAGGTTATTTTTTTTATTTATAGATATGTCAAACTGTCGATCTTAATGCATACTATATCAAGCTAAAATGATATAAGCCATATCCATACTCATGGAGACGTTTGTGAACTAAGTTCTAAACCACATTCGTCAACTAATATGAAAACAGAAATTTGTAAAAATAGTCTAACCCATGTTTTCTTTATAAATACGTGGGTTAGACGATTGTTGCAAATCTTTGTAAGGGTCTTTTCATTGTGTGCACCAGATGCAAAATATTAAATTAATGAACAAATCTTTATTTTCTTATTAAAAGACGAGAAATTTATTATTACATTAATATTACAATTTTATTTAGATAAATAAAATTGCACCAAACTAGAAAAGTATATTATTTTTAAAACTGTTAAAAATGATTAAAGAAATTTTTAAATTTCTTTTATCACAGATGGTGTACCGAAAAGGTAACATAATACGTTTTGCGATTACTCGTATATTGGTGTCATAAATGCCGACAAAAAATTGCATTATCAAATAAGGAAAATATTGGAACTGTTGCTTGATAGTCAAAATTCTGGTCAGCAAAATATTGTATGTCTTTTTAGCAAAAAATTTTGATATTTCAACATATTGTTTTAATGTCATATATGTCATTAATGAAAAGTAAAAAAAGAATGGGACCTAATACTGAACCTTGCGGTACTCCACACTCAATATCTTTACAACTAGAGTCGGTGTCTTTTATTCTAACCAATTATTGCCTACCTACCAAGTAAGTTTTGAACCAATTCAAAGACACACCCCGAATTCCATAGAAAGTTAATTTTTTTTATAGAATGTCGTGATTTACGCAGTCAAAGGCTTTGGAATAGTCGCAGAAAACAGTGGCGGAGGAGAGGTTACTATTTAGTGATAGATATACCTCATGTAACACAGAAAACATGGCATCACTAGTACAATTATTAGACAAAAAGCCGAACTGATTTTGCGATAAAATATTATGTTTAAGGAGAAAGGGCATAAGTCGAACTTTTATAAGGCAATAGGTCTATAGTTGCAGGCATCAGATTTTTCTCCACCTTTATGAAGAGGAATAACGATGGCTGTCTTTAGGCAGTTAGGGAATGTACCTTTTTCAAGGGAATCATTTACTAGCGAGACCATGACCTTCAAAACAT